ACATTTTTTTTTTTTTTTTTTTAATTCGCCCTCTCTCACATACTTTTCCCATTACGGCTATCTGAAATCAATCACCATTTTATGATTTATTGGTTCTGATTTTTTTTGCAAACATTTTATGATAATTGATATGAGATATTCGGACTAATAATCAAGGATCCATGAAGGAGCCTCCCCGCCATCTTGAAGTTTCTTCTGTACACGTGGAACATTTAAGGGAAAATGAGTGAATTAAAATATTTTAATAAGATAAAAGGAATAGGTGTTGGGCTTAATCATAAAGTGGGCCCATTTTGTTTTGGACCAATAAATGAAGTTTGATGCTGGTGTAACGAACCCGGAGTGTCCTTGTGGTCCGTCTAAATATATACTGTATACAGAGTAAGTTCCAATGTTGACGTGTCAACGCTGATTGGTCAACAAAAACCCACGTCAACGCTGCTGATTTAATGCGCTTGATTACGAAGAAGATACATCAACCGTTCAACTCCCAACCACTACAATGTGATCGCAATGGTCACGTTTGCACTGAACCCCACTTGTAACAATGAGTGGCAATTTCGCACATTTGATTGTTTGCATCATCACACCTTAGCATTAATAAATTGAATAAGACGTCTTTGTTTTGATAATTTTGGTAAGAGAGAGTGCGCTAAATTGAAATGCTAAGAAAAGTGGTTCATGGGTTACACTGGAATCATTCATATAATGACATTTACCTATACGGACAATATCTCCACGTGTGACGTGTAGACAACCATCTTAAATGGTAACGTATCACTCATTCTAGGGAATTTGTTATGGTCTTGCTAAAAAATGTCTTCTCCTCCTTTTAACAATTTTTCAAAAAAATAAAAAATAAAAAACGGAGTCACAAGTCATGTCGATTTCACTAAGCCTATACTCAGTAAGCAGAAAAGGAAAGGTCAATTTCTTTATAATATATTAATATATTTTTGTGAGGTCCATTTTTAATTCAAGAGCCTGAAATGAATTGATTTATCAAGTGTCAATGATGTAGAATTATCAAAAATTTGAATTAGTTCACCAAGTGTTAATGGTTTAGAAACATCGAAGGGTCTAGTTCAATTTAGACTGTTGTTGAGATTTCTTTATAATATATTAATACATTTTTATGGGGTTATTTCCTTAATTGAATAGTTTTAATTTAATTAGTTCACCAAGTGTCAATAATTCACGACTATCTAATAATTTCAAACCCGTATTCATTACGCGCGCGCGTGTATATATATATTTTATATATAATTTTTGCTTCACATGAAATTTAAATTTGTTACCAAAATGATTCATAATATCCATATTTTATGTTTTCGAATTTTTTTTATTACAATTATTTTTAAAATTATGAAATACTATATGAATTTTGATTTATCAGTGGATTGACTTGCTGCATTGTTAGCTTTTCCTGACCCTATCCGTGCAAGGAAGGTAGCCTTTCCATTGAATACATAAATGATGTGTGTGTGAAATTGCATGGAAAGAGGAAATAAGGAAAACCAAAAGGCCCTGCTACTATTAGTCCTACACTTTAATTATGGTAGACTTGACAAAATGTGATCTCTCACGGACATTCACACACTCACACCAACAAACAGAGTAGTGGAAAATTCATACAAATTTACCAAATCTCTCATAAGTGGTCCACTCCATTGAACGACAGAGCCACCATAGACCATAGGCTTTATCCTTAGCCCTTAGGCTTCATGTATATGTAAAATTTCAGAAAACGTCCTTCCAAATTCCCTCTTTTCTAAAATTTCCCTCTTTTACTCCTCTTCTTCTTCAATTCTTTTGTTTCTCTTCAATAATAATTTTCTCCTTTCGTCCTCTCATTTTTTCTTTTCTTTTTATTTTCTTCCTCTCTTTTTTTTTTTTTTTTATATATTTTTATTTTTATGTCTTCTTAAAATTTATTCTTCTTGCTCATGTATAATGACATAATGTATTTATTGTAACTTTTTTTCTCCCTCTATTTATTATTTAAATGTATTACTGTAATGACAATAATATTATATTAGAAGTTAAAGATGAGAGTGTCGAAGAAGCTGAGCTCCCAATTATAGCGTTGGCGTAATTTTATGAAATTAATGTATGTATTTTGTATTTTTAAAATTTTCAATGTTATAACTTATTGTGAATAGTTACTGTACTTCTATATTCCATTTGCTATCTTACTGTGCTATTAATTGTCATGTTAATTGAAGAAAAAAAAATTAATATTGCTAACTAAATTTTTGACTCCGTCACTCAATCCATTAATTCATACCTCTTCAGCTAATAAGAAAAACAACAAAGATATAGGATAATAGGAATCTAAGTCACATAAAGCGAGAGTGGGAGCCAGAGCAAATTCAAGAGTAGGAGCGTGAAAGTGACAAATTTTAAGCTACATATAGCGAGAATGGGAGCAAAACTGTGTTTGGAGTATAAGAGTAATACTCATTGAGAAAAATTGTGTGACTTATATAGAAATCATAAAATGTTTTTATTTTTATTATTATTTTTTTTTGGAAGTTAAAAATAAAAGGCATAGGAACTAGGAAGTACTGGGAGAGGGTAGGGGTTTCAAATGGGCTGGGAAGGGATGTGTCGGGTCAGAGAAGTTTATTATATGGGTGGTGGTATAAATTGGCCCAGATCAGACAAGTACATAATTTAAAAATTTTGGATAGTGCCCGTCAAGTTTTGGGCCTGACTTAGTTGGGTCAAGTAAAATCCAAGGCTAAAGTGGGCTTAGTATGGCCCGGTCTTCAGGCCTAGCCCATTACTGCTTTACTGATTCGCGTTCAGCGCTCCCATCTTTCTAAAGAGAAAATGCCAACCCTTCCAATGTATCGACCCTATAAAACTCAGTAAGCTTAAAAAGTGGGATCTTCAAAACAATTCAACGTGGGTACTATGAAATGTAGATAACTGGGCAAATAGATTTGGGCATCCAAGAACAATAATTTGTATATATATATATATATGGTATTAGCCTATTACATTTGCCTTAAATAAGTAGATTCATGCAGTTAATTTTAAATAGTCAAGATTGAGACTCAATTGAATTTGAAAACAAATCAATAAAAATATCATCTTTTATTTTCTTACAATTCAAAGAAAAAAATAAAACGGCACTAATTAGTTTTTTCATAAGGGAGGCACTTCCTGTTTCTACAATTATACTCCGCTTGTCTTTTATTTTCTTAAAAATAAAAATAAAAAAATTCAAGGCCTCTAAACTCATTAATGCTATAATTATCCTTTATACTATAAATTTTACCTCCTTTACTTTCTCTAGTTAAAAGTGATAATTTATTTCACATGGAATAGAAATAAAATGAATTGTTACCAGGTTTAAAAGGGGTTCACGAACCAACAAAATATATGGTGAATGTTGCAAATTAATAAAATAAACACCATAAAAGGAGAGAGATTGTATTTTTATCTAATACTGACAAGAGTTCTTGTTGAATATTGTTAAAAATAAAATCTGTTTCTTTTACGCTGTGAAGACAATAAAATTAAATAAAAAAGAAGAAGATCAAGCTAGATTGGTTTTACTAAAAACTACTTGTACCAACTCTGCTAGGAGCCTTTTGATAGGAGAAATTGCTGTGAAGACCAGCAACCCTGTAAAATGAATTATGTAAGTATCAAGTACCAACCGTTTGTTTTCGCCTTTCGTCTCCTGAGGTGGAAAATAGCCCATAGTTCCATTCTTGCTAAGTAAGATATACACCAAACAAAGGGTGCACCCATTTGACAAATTGTCTTTACTAAAACAACCCCCAAGTAATCCAATTGGTTTATGTTTAAAGGGTAGTTATGATATTTTAAAATAAGAAATGATGTATTAATGAGTTAGAGATTTTCTGGTCATTTAATTAAAGAAAAAAAAGGATAAAAAAAAGAAAGTGAAGTGGGTTAAAAACAAGGGATAATTCGAAGTAATACTCATTTTATCTCCCCCATTTAGATTCTTTGAAGTGGTAGAGTGATTTCAACCTTATTATTAAGATATTATTGTTGTTCATTGAGTCACTGTTATTAGTATTTTTATATTGATGAGATTAAAAATAAGAATATTGAATTAAATTTATAATATTAAATTGAAAAATACTCATGTCTTACTGCCAATCCTATCCAATCCGTCAAAAGATTTAATCCATTTCGATCAAATTAATAAAAGAACAATATTTGGATCCAATTCAGATTGGATGAACTTTATCCAACTTGTTAACGGGTGCAACAAAGATTAAAATTAATTATAAAATTAAATTGGGCATTTCCTAACTTTTATTTTTAAACATGTGTTTTAAATCATAATTTTTGTTTTTGGACACTTATTTTAGATTTATTGGGTCACATCAACAGGTTGGATGAATCAGCCTGGGTTGGACTCAAGTATAATATTAATAGTATTATAATATTAATAAAATAATGATTTGAATCAAATATAATTTTTAATAATCTGTAAGGATGAAATTATATTAGATTAGATTTCCCTATGTAGTGACCCTAATGAGAATCCTTAATCCCCTGTGAAGTATAGATACTTTTCACGTATTTATGTACTGCGTTTAGGTCCACACGGATCACACACCCATAGACAAATCAATCCAATCCGTTCAATCTAGTGAAAGTCAAACAATCCTAAGGTGGTTGGATAAGCTAATAAGAACCGGTGATTCACCAAAATGAACGGCGAAGATTAAAACCTTTCGCGTAGGGATAATCCCAAACCCTTTCCAGCTCATTTGCCAGGCGCAGAAAATCTAGCTCATTCCATTACTTGGAAAGGGTTAGATAACAACACCAAAAATCAATTGTCATCCAATAACAATAGCACACGTAGTCATAAAAGTTCAAAGTCGCTCAATTTCTTTCTTTCTTTTCTACGCGTTATATTTTTATTGGACGAAAAGACACCGTGCGAAACAGGACTGTCATCTGAGCATAACCTACCCTTCAGCATACAAAAGGTCGACAGCGAGGTCGGCTTTCCGTTCTCACTGTGACTTGTGCTTTGGTTCTCTCTCTCTCTTTCTCTCTCTACCTCAAATTCGATATCTCTGTTGTCTCTATTTATTACCGGCGGCGACCGGAGAATCGGTGACGTCGGAGATCGGGGACTGTACGGACCAACGGAAGGACAAAGATGAAGGTTTTCGTCAAGACTCTCAAAGGCACTCACTTCGAGATCGAAGTGAAACCCGAAGACACTGTACGAATCTTTTTTCTCCCTCTCTATTTCTATCTATCTATATATATATACAGGCATAATGATGTATAGATTATTTTAAAAAAAAAAACAATTGTGTGCGTCTCGAATTGAGTTGTTATTTGCCTGACTCGTCTGAATTAGGGTTTTTCTTGTGCAACCATGACATCTAGGTTTTGGCTTTTCGTGCTGCGTTGATTTGTTATAAAGTGGAATTTGATATCAATTACGTGTTTACATTTTTGAAGTACTTTTGTTGTTGGGTGATTTTGTGTATTGATTTTGTTTTTGATGTGGTTTAGTGCTGGAGTATTTCTAATTGACAAATACTTGATTTTTAGAACTTTATGGTCTATGGAATATGCAAATGAATTCGAAGTCGTGATTCATATGATTTACTGCTGAATGAGTTTATTGATCAAATTACAGTTTTGTTCCTCTGCCCTATATTTTACTACGTGGGAACTGTTCAAAAATTAACTCGCTATGCTTTCCTGGTTATAATGGGAATAGTTTACATTTGTACTTTTTTTTTTATTTTTTTTATTTTTTTATTTTAAAATTAATTTCCCGCTAAATTAGTTCTGGCCTGGGGCAATGTCATGATACTCTTAGGCTTAACTTGCTTGACAAGTAAGAATAATTTTTTTTAATAATTTTAGAAATATCATCCATGCATGTGTTATCTGTCCAAGTTCTTTAATTTATTACTGTATTCAATTATAATGTTGATCATCATCGTTATACTGTTAAATCTTGTGTTTGGTGCCTGGTTTCTAACATGTTCCATTTGCCATCTGGTATGTGGTCATGTCTTCATCTATTTAAATCTCATCGTTACCATAGGAAGCTCCATCATAAGGCGATTGAGTTAGTTGCCTAAGGCTCCATGTGTTAAAAAGGGCTGCAGCCTAAAACATTATGAAGTGGGTCACATTATACCAATTGTAAGGTTCCTTTGTTGTCTAAAGTATTAACAATAATGATTTTAAAGTCAAAGAGTTTGAACGAAATGGAGAGCCGAAGACTCCCTATCCGTAAGATACACTCAATTAGGAGTGATATGGGACCTAGTTGAGTGTATCCATTAAATGGGGAGCCTTCGGCTTCCCATTTCGTTCAAATTCTTCACATCGGTGTGAATAGCATTAAGTATTAATTACCAAATGTAACCAATTCTCTCCCCAATCTTCTCAGCCATGCAAGTAGATTTAACATAAAAATAATACTCCCTCCGTCCCAATTTAGCTGTCCATCTTTCCTTTTTGGGATGTCCCAAAATACTTTCCCACTTAAAAAGTTCAAACAACATATTTCACATCTTTCCATAAAATTCACTTGAAGTTTAAAAAAAATTCATACTCGATTACGCCTTACCTCAGATGCTCCCTCTGTCCTATATTAGACGTCCCTTTTGGGGAGTAGAAAATTTTAAGGGGACATGTAATTATTGCATTGGATAACTTGGTGTGAGATGTTATGCGTCTTTACTTGTCTTCTTTTTCTTGCAGTCTCACATATTTTGTTTGTCTAGACTTCTCTACTTTTGATGTCTTACACATCGGGTCTTGTATGCCAAACTTAAGTTTTTCTACTATTTATAAAGGTAATTGATATTATTTATATTAAGATATTAAATACAGAAAAAGTCTTTATTTAGAATTTTTGCCTAGGCATCAAATTGTGCTGGGCTGACCTTGCCAAACACCAGATGCAAGGACAGTATTTTATTTCTTTTGTGGGTTTACTGTATTGAGCACGTACTGGTTTTGTCTCTAGATGTATCATAGGAAATTTAATGAAGAGAGTAATGAGCACACAATAGGTTAAAAAATAGATGGAATTGATATGATGCAACAGATTTCGGTATGGATACATGGTGATGATACAAAATGTAGACATGTTGACTTGATAAATTGCAAAAAAGAAAATGCTGCAGATACACCTTTGACATGACAATATATGCATCTATAGTGTGTCTGGTTATATGGGGACTGCAAAAGGCTTCATTATTTGAAGGGAAGTAGACTTCTCAAGAGATATTGGGTCTCCTGGTGAAAAGTAATTTTGTTCAATTTGCTAGAGCTTGTGCAATGAGCTGTGAGCAGAGCTTGAGATAGTTTGGATTTTGCTCGTTTATATGTGGGCTTAATTGGGTTTGTTTAGGGCTCTTGATGAGCTCGGAAAGCTTTGTGAGCTGGATTGGCTTGAGTTTTAAGCTTGTGAAACATATATATATTTTTTTTTTCATAAAATTTTTTATTTTAAATTATTATTAGGAAAATAATGTTTGAATTCAACTTGCTTATTTAAAAAAGGGAAATGACATAGTTGTCCTGTAAAAACACTGTTTCATGCTGCAATTGTCCTGAAAAGTACTCTTACGCTCTTCTTTTGATGGGTAGGTATGTATTTTATTAAAAAAGAAAAAGTTGCGTGCAAGAGTAGAAATGGAGTGCTATCACATCCCTTTTACTATATTTTATTAATATCTTTACCATTTCGCCCCAGAAAGAAGAAGAAAACCCTCCAAGGCTTGGGTTCATAAGCCTACTGTTGAAGTTCGGGTATTAAAAGCAAGCTATAGTTGAGGATCGTGTTAGGCTTATCTACTTAAATAATGAATGAACTTGAGTTGAGCTTGTTGTTCACGAACACTTTGGTTCATTTTCAGCCTTGCGAGTACTTTAAAATTAAAGGGAAATAAGTATCTGTCATGATGTATATTTATATATGCATATAATATGAGGCATTGCCTTTTATTTTATATTGATATACTAAGAAGCACGGACACGGATACGGGACACGGATATGACACGACACGGACACGGCGACACGGCAAATCCAAAAAAGTTAGGACACGGACACGGCGAATAGTATATATATATATCAGCATTAATAATTTTTTTTAAAAAAACACTGATATGTTTAGGTTGGAATATATATATATATATCACTGATATGTTAGTATATATATATATCAGCATCTTTAGGACACGGACATGGCGAATTGTGGCATCTTTAGGTTAGTATATATATATATCAGCATCTTTAGGGTAGTACAAAACAAAAAATAGAACATATCAGCATTAAAAATTTAAAAAAAAAAAAAAAATCCAGAAAAGTGTGTCCGAGCCGTGTCCAATCTGTTTGAGCCGTGTCCGAAAATAAAAAAAAATAAAAAAATTCCAGACACGTTTTTTGGCGTGTCCGACACGTGTCGGAGCGTGTCCGACTCGTGTCCGTGTCGGACACGGATTCTTCGCCCATTTTGGAGTGTCCGTGCTTCCTAGTTGATATATCAAATTTTATAATTTTCAAACCTATATAATTTTCAAACCTATACTATTACATTCCCATTATAAAATTTAGGATTATGTTGCATGAATATGGACTTGTACCAAATTCAGCACGATTTATCCCTACTGTATATTTATGTCTCTGTTATTATTCTCTAAATAATACTAAAGTACCATGTTTTTCCAAATATTAGCTATACAGACATTTTGCACCTCAATCATGTCAGATACATGTCTTGAAGGATATGAAAAGTATCATACATACATACATACATACATACATACATATATATATATTATTTTCGTATCATGGATACTTTTGGGAAGTATCGAACAAGCATCCATGTGTATTTTAAGAGTAACGCATCCAATATGGATATCGTATGAATTCAACAATCTTTCAGAAGCAATGTGATTCATAACTTAAACCCCACTCATTAGTTTGAAAATTTCCATGCCTATCAAAAGTTTAATGCTTTTGAAGTAGTTTGGAAACCAAGTGTACAACTTACTTTTTGTGTATAAAGATCTAGTGCAAGGGATAAAGATGTCAAACCATATGGTGCCTCTGGGCAACTTTTAACTCTTTTGTTGCTCAAGAGATGTCTTTACTCTTTAGGGCTGGATATTTTTGTTGTAGAATATGAAAGATAATTTTAAGGAGCTCTCGTTAATACCTTGACAACTGCCCTGTGATTTTGTACTTTTTAAATTGTTTCCCAGCTATTGACAGCTCACACTTTCCACAATGCAACTCACACTTCTCCACAATAATGCATATTTTATGGAGGAGAAGTAAATATTTTGTAATTTTTTATATATGTTACAGATCTGCATTTTGGAACAGGGGAAAAAAAAAAAACCTTTGTGGAGGGAAAGAATAATATTTTTGTTTGCTGAAGTGTGTTGAAAATAATTGTATGGTTCTTCTTTATTTTACTTGTTAGGAATTTTTTTGTCGATGATTCATTGTGTTGCATATTATAATATTATAACAAGTAGCGATATACAACAAGACAAGCTCAGGCAATGAGCAGTCTTCATTTTGGACAATGTATTTTATGGTGTTGCTTTAGTGTTCTATCTTGCATGGTCCTAGAACTTTCTAGTATTTGTGGTATATAAGTAGGATCACATTCTGGTTCAATTCATAAAACAATTGTCTGTTGCAAGTTCTTTTGTGGATGTGGTTTAGGGAATCAGGAAATTCTGTTTTGAATTCAATGGATTGTTTGGTTAGAAGTATTTGTAATTTTCTGTTCTCTGAAAGCAGATTTGAGGATATTGTGCAATTTTATTTGGCACTCCATGTCACGACATTGCAAGATATAAATAGTGTATAAGTTGGTTTGCATAATCAAACGTGGGTTGCAAAACTAGTCAATGGCCAGAGGCATTTGGTCTTTTTCTGTTGTGTTGGGCGTATTAGGAGGAGCTTGACTTCCAATTAAACATCTCTTTGTCCACGACATAAGGTGGTTTCTTTTGTAGTGACATTTTTATTTTGGATATTATTGTTGGTGGTGTCATATTAGTGGTTGTCTGACATGATGATTGTTGTTTATAGCTAGAAGTTACATGTTTTATAGAACTTTTAGTAACTAACTAGAACTACATTGCAGTATGGTTATTAGATATATTTATGTTTTCTGTGTGGTCCAATGCAGTTTTAGAGATGGAGATGGTGGATTAGTCATTTGCAGTGTTATTTTTTATTTTCTACTTCTTTATCTTATTGTTATTATTTTAATTTTCAAGTTGAGAAGTTATTTTGATCCACAGGAACTTTCTAATTAATTGTACTTTTTCTATTTTTATGAGAACTGATTGAAATAGTCACTCATGTTGGGATAACTTCAATGTTGATTTATTGCATAACAAGATATCACGATAGGTAGCCTGTAGGACCTGTACTATAAGAGAAGTCAAATTGCAGCACTACTTTCACACGTGATCCTCAACGCTTATATGAGATTTATCTTGCCTTCTTATTGACATGTTTTTTTATTTATTTACTTTTTATCTGTCTTGGCTGCTTTCACTCGTGGTTGTCATGTTTGTTTTTGAAGTCAATATTGTAGTTGTGCTTGCTAAAGCATGCAATAAATAGTTTGGAGTGTTGTTACCTTAGTTTCACTTTTTGATTTTTTCATAAATATTTACCGGTTTGATTAATCAAGTTGAAAGGAAAGGTTTCCAGGACACTCATCATGCTTGGTGAAATCCAAAGACCAAAGCTTGTTCTCATGCCAAATTAAGACCAAATGCTCTATCAAATGCGGGGTTTAGGGTTTTGAGAAAGGTTGAAGTAATTTTGATCTTATTATAATTGTTTTTGAAATTTAAATAAAATAAATGGAAGTATATAAGTAAATAATTTGCTGATTAACACAAAAAGAGGAAGAAAGGATGACCCAATTTTACAAGCCACTATAATAATAATAATAAAAAATTCCAGTGTCATCATTTGTGATATAAATATATATATATATATATATATATATGAATATTTCACTTGATATTTTTCATGTCAGATCTAAACTTTTGGTGATAGCATAAGGGGCTCTTTTATGTCAGTCATCTACATTTATATTGTAACTGCACATAAAAATTACAGCTGTGATGTATGGCTGGCACTTGAAAACGGCTCTTCTGCTCATAAATGAAGTGTTCTTATTCATCCTCTTGATATTTTGAAAATTGGTTTATTGCTCTCGAAACTATATATATATATCTGTGTGTGTGTATATTTCACTTGATATTGTTAATTTCAGCTTCTAAACTTTTGGTAATGGGACATAAGGGGCTCTTGTATGTCCTTCATCTATGTTTATATTGTTACTGCACATAAAAATGTCAGTTTTCTTGTATGACTGGCATGTAAACTTCTTGGTTTGTATTAGTTTTTGTTATGAGGTTTAGTTAGGCTGATCGACAGATATAAAGTAATACATGATGCTTTCACAAGTCAATTGGGTTGACCAGTCCTTTTGAAACGGATTGCCTTGGTTGTTGGTGTCACGAGTTTTGCTGCTTTATTGTTTTTCTTAACAAGTTTTCTATGCAAGCATATATATGTTGAAAAGGATTAACTACTGTGTTTCATTCTTACTGGTCTCTTTGAAAAATCAGTTTACGGTGTTATGCTTCTCATTTTTATATACACCCCCCCCTCCCCTCCGCATTTGGAACTCACACTCATTTTTATTTTACTATTTTCTTGTTGATTGTATACGCAGGTTGCTGATGTGAAGAAAAATATAGAAACAGTTCAAGGTCCAGATGTTTATCCTGCCACCCAACAGATGCTTATCCATCAGGGGAAAGTTCTGAAGGATGCAACAACTCTGGAGGAAAATAAAGTTGCTGAAAATACTTTTATTGTCATTATGTTAACTAAAGTAAGTTCGGTTATATCAATTGAATTTGTCCAACTTCAATCACATCTCTTTATGATTTTAGTTGGGAAAGGAAGACATGCTTAAAGTAGTGTTGTGATATTTTTGAATTTGCTGTTCAGGTTGATTTAAAATGTAATAAAGTAAAGATGTTGGTTAGAAGAAATGATTTAGATCAGTTGAGAATTGAGATTATTAATTATCATAGGAGGTCAATGTATCTTATTAGGTGGTAATTGACTAAAGTAAATAGCAAGTGGTGGTCTATCAAAGGGGGAGGATGGGGGGAAGAAAGGATAAGGAAAACAAAAAAGAAAGTAGAAGTTTTTTTTCATCTCTGTCTCTCCAACTTAAAATTTAGCTTTCATGATATGGTACTTAGTTTTATGGTGATGTGGATGTTAACTTGGCATTTATAATTTTGTGAGAGTTCAATATGGAACTAATTCTGTACGCTCGCTTAAACAATTGTAGAATAAGGTTGCATCAAGTGGGTCTTCAACCACATCAGCTGCGCCTTCAACTCAGGTATGTGCAATGCATGTTGGACAAGTGTATTCTGCTAGTTAACATTCCTTACAATAGCATGATGTTGTTAGCTCACCTCTCATTTTATTAGAGAAAAGGGCTGGTTAGGAATTCTTTTAAAACCTTCTCTTAGCTTATTCCTCCCCTTGCTGTCGTAAACAAACTCCCCCAGACCCACCCACCCACCCACCCACACCACAAAATGTGTGCGCACGTGCCTGCGAGCACAAATGCCTGTGGTGTGCGTTTTTGTCATTTATAGTATAGCAGAAACCTTGTTCATTGGTGCCACTAAAATTCAGGCGTGTGGCTATGATGGTGACTTGGTGAGTACAGGAGCTTGAACCTCACTGGATGATGTTGCAGTTATTAGTAAGGCAGTTGGGGTTTGAGGAGGATGATAGTTGTTCAGCTGAGATGGGTGAATATGTCGTTATGTGGTGTTAGGTTGTGGTGATGGGCGATCGTATTTTTTGGTGAATCAGGTGGTGGAGATTGTGGGTTAAGTGTTATATCAGGTAGGTGTTTTTGTACACGATAGCTGGGAAATTTTCACTATCAATTCTAGTCAGGCAGATACCAAAGCTCCTTTAAGTAGGAAAGCACCTTTAATGCATTAATAAGCACTGGATGTCAGGACTCCTCGAAAGAGACTATAGGATAGCACCTTCATTGTTTTTTTTCCCAATACATAATATAAATGCATTAATAAATGAATTCATAGATATAATAAGGAAAATGCTAACATCCCCTAGAAAATGCCAACAACCATAGATTGCTCTAGAAGAAATCTTGTAAATTGCACGATGGTGTGGGGATTCATTTTTTACTTGATCAAAAATTACAAATCCTTACTGTAACCTATGTATGGTAGACACGTTCTCTATGTGCTAAGAGAGGTTGGGTTGGGGTGAATATCCTCTGGGCCATATTCAATTGTTGTTGGAAACAGTATCAACTATAAATCACTTAGCCTGAGCCATTTTATTGACCATTTCATTATCTTGACTTGTCATATAAGGTGCTAATTGAACAGCTTAACTGTGTAGGCTCAACCTGCAAGTGCATTGCCTCCCCCGACAACAGCATCTCAAGCTCCTGCCTCAACCGTGGTTCCGTGAGTTCTAAATTATTTCTTTTATTTCTTCTTGTAAGCTTGTTTAAAACTACCTCGAAGTTTGTTTTCTTAGTTTTCCTATTTGACACACCTTACTATGTTGGTTCAACTTTTCCCATTTGTTGATCTGTGCAGTCCACAATCAGCCCCAGAATCTTCTCCAGCCCCAGCTCCAGCTCCAGCTCCGGCTCCAGCTCCGGTCTCTGCTGCTGCTGCTCCTGCTCCTGCTTCGTGAGTATATATATTCTGCCAATTTCTGCTATAATTTTTACCTTGTTTTAACTTTTAAGTGTTTAAGACCATCTGTTGTATCCTATATATATATATCGTGTCTCTCCCATTTTGTTTGAAGAATTTAAAGTGTTCTATATTTTATTTACCTTTTGTTTTGTTTTTTGTTTTGTTTTTTGTTCAAGCAGTTCAGAATCAGATGTCTATGGCCAAGCAGCATCAAATCTTGTTGCTGGAAATAACTTAGAGTCTACCATTCAACAAATTCTTGATATGGGTGGAGGGAGTTGGGATAGGGATACAGTTGTCCGTGCTCTGCGTGCTGCGTATAACAACCCTGAGAGAGCTGTTGAATACCTATATTCTGTGAGTTAACTCTCATTTCTTGGTATGTTGATTGTTGGTAGTTCACCCAATTACTTTTACCTTGTATTTAGCTGGAAGCTGCATGCCAAAAATTTGTCGTCGGGTGGTTTAACATAGTTGGTTTGGCAGGATTCCTGTTTATAAAACCCTTTTATTCTGGTGAGAAGCTCTGTAATCTTTTTTAAGATGTTTTTTTTCTTGGTGCTCCAAGAATTCTAGATTTGATTTTTGGCCTTGCACGGTAACTCGATGTATTAGTTCCATTTCCCCTCTTATTTTGTTGGCATTCCTTGTGCTGTAAAGCATTAAATTGGAATAAAACCATGTTTGTCTTTATGCTCTTATTACTCATATTTGATTCCCTGATCACTGTAATTTAGCTGTTATTTTATCCCATTCTCAGTTACATAAATTTCTCTAAATGTGAGGAAAAAATTTATCAGGGTATTCCTCAGCAAGCTGAAGTTCCACCTGCAACCCAAGCTCCTGCAAGTGGGCAGGCCGTAAATCCTCCTGTCCAGGCTCCACAACCAGCAGTTCCTTCCAGTGGGCCCAATGCAAATCCTTTAGACCTCTTTCCACAGGTAGGTGGCATTCAATTCCATAGATTTCATTTTCCTTTTAGTCTGCCACTCATGTTAATAGACCTTTCCCCCACCTGGAATCAGGGCCTTCCAAATGTAGGTTCAAACACAAGTGCAGGCACCTTGGATTTCCTACGCAACAGTCAACAGGTAGATAGAATACTTTTTCTATGGTTACCAAGTTTTGTATTATTAATAATCTTGGAGATAATTTTTTCTTCTTTCTTTTGGATTTAGTTTCAAGCTTTGCGAGCTATGGTGCAAGCCAACCCTCAAATCTTGCAGGTATTACTTATCTAGTTATGTCCCCCTCTTGTTGTCAACAATTTTCATTATTAATCCAAGTAACTTTTTTCTTGGAGGACTCACGATCACTCTTTCAATTGCAGCATATGCTTCAGGAGTTGGGAAAACAAAATCCAAACCTGATGCGGCTCATTCAAGAGCACCAGGCCGACTTTCTGCGCTTGATCAATGAACCTGTTGAAGGGGGGGAGGGGTGAGAGAACATCTGTCTTCATTTTTCTTGAATTATTTCTATCGTTTTTTGGTTATAACGTTCAATACTGATTTGCTTATTAATGTGCAATTAGGAATGTGCTGGGACAATTGGCTGGAGCAATGCCACAGGCTGTGACCGTCACACCTGAAGAGCGTGAGGCAATTGAGCGTGTATGTTTAACAGCATTTGCTTTTCTATTAAAATCAAGTTGTCTCAATATACTCCCTCCTTCCCATATTAGTAGTCCATCTTTCTATTTTTAGTTGTCCCATAATATTTGTCCCATTTTGAAAATCAATGTACTATATTTTGAAACATTCCCTAATTTACCCTCATTACACTGAAATGATAAGCATCACTGTGGATCCCACCAATTTAAAAACAGAGGGCAAATTTGAATATTCATTCATGCCAATATAATAAAGAAATATAAAATGTCAAATCTCTTAAAAAGCTAAAATCTTAAAAGCGGACATCTAAAGTGGGACGGGGAGTAATTAAATATGTCAAGAGTACTAGTCTGTCTGTTCATAATTTTTTTCCCAGTTGGTAAATCACACACAGACACACACCCATTTATTCCATCGGGGACTCGAACTCCGAACCTTCCATTTGGAAGGTGGAGGAGATACCACTTGGGCTAAGCCTTGGTAAAAAGTTGAAGGTCCATGGTCTGTTCATGTTTCTATTGTTAATGATGGTAATATATTTACAAAGTTGAAAAACCCCTTGATGTTTTCCTTCAAGTATTGCATTTGGAAATTGCTTTGGAGTTGAAGCCATGGGAATCTAGTCCAACGGCAACTGCACCCAAAAGTGAGGGCAGTAATGTGGCTTGTGCCTTGCAGCACCGTTGGATTTTTTAGATCTACGCCTTGTTATCAACACCGGTGACAATGTGATGAAGCACTTGGATTTGCATTTAGTCATCACTGAAGTGTAAAGTAGGCACGTACCATATTTGTTACGATTTGTGGCAAACTGGTAATATTGTTTTTTGCTTCATTATTTACATTTCGTATACAGTGATTTGATTTGACTTGACTTTTTGTGAAAATTGAGTTGTGGAATCCATATTCTCGAATTTCCTCTTAAGAATTGGTGGCTCTGTTGTCTTTCAGTTTGAATTGTTTGTCCTATTTATGATGAGATATTTCTTCTTTATTTTATTATATGGTTAAACATCCAATCTAATTTGAAGTGTTATAATTACTAAATACAAAGTATGATCATATTGGCGTTGATACTTGTTCATAATATGATTTTGGCAGCTTGAAGCAATGGGTTTTGATCGAGCTTTAGTGTTGGAAGTTTTTTTTGCGTGCAACAAGAATGAGGAGCTGGCTGCAAACTATCTTTTAGATCACATGCACGAGTTTGATGAGTGATGCAGGTTGAAATACGAAGTGTTCTTTCCTGTTTCTTATCAATTTCTACTTCTAAAGTGTTCTGACTCTATCTGGTATGGTGGTCAAATTTAATTTCATTATTAAGTGTCTCAAGGTGTTTCAACTTTTAAGGCTTAGTTATTAAAATTATCTGAATCACAACTTTTAAGATGTTCATGGCCTCTTCCTATCCTCGGACCTTACAGCATTTTTCTCATTTTTCTTGTTTTGGAGGTACGTGTAAATTTGTGATGGACTATGATATATGTCCTTTCCGTTCCCTGTTTTACTCCTGGTGTGTGTGTTGTTATTATTATTATTATTATTATTATTAATCTTTTGAATTAAACTCCATATATAGGCTGCCAGCTCTTTTATCGGAATTGATATTCTTATAAGAATCCTCACCAGATTGAAAGTGGGCGTGATAAATGTAATTCACATCCTCTACATAACTAGTAGCTTTTAACCGGAACAATGCACGGTAAAAAATTACCAGTCAATAAAATTACAAGACTGAAATTGTATGTTATAAGAAGTTTTTTTACAAGAAAATACATTACTGCCAAAAATTTTAATATAGTTATTGGTGATCTTGTCAAGTTCTACGAAATATAACATGGTGAAATCAAACGGTTAGGAATCAATTACATTCCCAATCACAGCTGCCAAAAGTTTAAATATAGTAGTTATTACCTTGCAACGAGCCACGAAATCGAAAGGTGAAATCAAGCGGTTCAATCCCAAACACAACTCTTAAAATGGGTAGAATCGGATTCTGATTCGAATTCGGTAATTCGATTCTTTAACAAATCGGAACAAATCGGATCAGATAAAATGTTTATCAGATTCGGATTGGATCAGGCCGAATCTAACCCATTGGCAAGTCTAGACTTAGGAAGCGTCCGGCTTGGGAAAATAGTAAAATCACTTGCTCTCATAATGAAATTAAATATCCCAGGGGTATGATAATCTGGGGTAGTGAAAGCCGTTAGATCATGAATGTGGTGATGAATTCTATCACATCCAAGTGTTGGTATGATCCCGAGAAACCATACCCGGGGTATTTAATACTTTCTTGAAAAACACACATATATATATATATATATATATATATATATTTTCCTGAATGGTGGATTTTTGTTTTATATATAAAGAAAAAGTAGTACAATTACAAACAGGAGATCAAATCTCCAGCAGAAACTATAAAATGGAACTAAGTCCAAATATATAGCACAGCAAAGTAAACCTAAACAGACTAAAAACTAAAATTTTCAGCCCATTATGAAGACCTAAAAACAACCCAATTGCTGCACTTAAAAATTCTTGTCACAAAACAAAGCTTGTGTCATGACCTTCCAGTTCAGCTGAACTTAAACCAGTTGAGCAGCCAAGCTTCTCTCAGCAACTTGAAAGCCACTCTCTTTACAAAAACCATGAAATGAATCGAATCCATTTCCAAAACAAGCTAACACCTAGCAGTAAAAACATTATACCACATCAAAGATAGCTAGCATATCAGCAAGCCCAAGAGAGAAGTTTAAAACTTCCCAAACAATATCCTTCGCAGCAGTTGCAGATGAAACCTGAGAGCTACTATGTAAAGCTAAATTCCTTTCCATCCAAATCTTCCAAACAAATACAGCAAACAGTCCTTTTAACAACTTGGATTTGAAGCCCTTAACCTGTGTAACCTGTAGCATCCACTCCACGAACACACTCATCTCTTGAAATCGAATATCTGTAATATTTAGCCAAAGAACAACCTGCTGCCACACTTCCACCGCATACTCACAAGTACAGAATAAATGATTATTAGTATCTTCTGCCTAAAAACAATTGTGGCAAACTTATGGTCCATGAAACCCCCTTCTTTGTAAGTTAACAAATGATAAATTCTTATTATGCATGATAATTACAAAAGTCACATCAACTCTTGGTCTGCAATATTTCCAGCACAAACTCATCCACTTGACCACTTGCCCCCTAGCTCTACAAGCAGTCCAGGCATTCTTCAAGCAGAATTTACCATGAATCCAACTGATCTCATCAGTTCCAGCCTTCAAAGTTACATTAGCAACAAACTCAGCAGCAATTTCTGGAAAGAAAGGAGGGAAAACTCATCCACCATCAACAATAAGTGTATTTGCTTTGGCTTGTTTATCAAAATTTCTGAACAATCTCGAGTCAGGAACAAACCTCCTTACCAAGGATCAAATAACATATTAAAAAGAGCCACCATTTCCAATCTTGAACACCACATTTTCTTGAATGAAGTCTCTTGTATCCAGAATTTGTTTCCAAATACGAATCCAGAGTTTTTGGTGAAATCATTCAGAAATTATATTGTTGTAAGTACCTAGCATGCATCCATTGCACCCAAAGAGTCTCCTTATTCCTCAAAAAATCCCAGCAAATAGATACCTTAGCTGCGAAATCAATATTTAGAAATTCTACGTAAATTAAAGCCATCTTCTGCATAAGGAAATGTAACTTAACTCCATTTGAGTTGAGACATTTTCTTTGAATCCAATTTCCCACTCCACAGAAAGTGTTTGAACTTTTTCTCCAAAGCAATAATATAGCCCCATGGAATTTTAAATCCAAAAACCCTGTGATACAAGAAAGAATATAAGACTGATCTGATAAGCTCAATTCGTCCTGCAAGTGATAGATTTATTGTGTTCCAATTGTCCAACCTGGCATTTACTTTATCAAATAACCCCTTGCAATCAACACTCTTTAGAACTCTGTTTACTATGGTAATACCAAGATATTTTATAGGAAAAACTTCATTCTTCATTTGCAATAGCTGTAAGATCCTTCTCTTCCCTCTGACATCCTTAGAGAATACACATATATCTATATCTATACATATACAACTATCTATGGTAATTATCCATACCCATTAAACCTCTTATCTAAGTACTCCATGGGACCTAATTGGTTGGCCCATTACTACTGACCATAACCATAAAATAAAATAAAACAAAATAAATATTTAATCATTTAATCTACAATAAATTACAATTAATCAAACACATCATTTAAGTACACAATTTAATTAAACAAATAACAGAAATAACACCTAGACAAAAAGCCAGTTAATCAAGTAATATTCAATTCAATTAAACACATAAGTAATTAGTTAAATAATCAATTAAACAATTAAAAATGCAATTAAAATAAATAATTAAATACCAAGACTATCCTTTTAAAATTAGGTATATTACAAAGACTATAATGCTTTTCCGGTACATTATAGGAAAATACTGCTTTCCTCTCCCACAACACTTGAAGCAACACTACCCAGAAAGAGTAAACATCAAATTGACCAGTTAGAAAATACTCTGGATCAAGATACACAAATGTGCCCATAACCTTTGTGGAATGAATGACTTATCCTCAGGAACCAACAAGGATGGCTGGAAATCTGAAATCTTTGTGACCCAATTTTGATCAAAGAGAATGTTGGTTGACTTCATGTCACGAAGAAAAGTTCTCTGCCATGCCCCTGTATGAAGGTAGTTGAGTCCTCAAGCGACATTGATGTGATCTGTAACATTGCTTAAAAAAAAAATAAAAAAATAAAAAATACATTCACTTTTACTAGGATTAGGATTAAGACCCGATAATATGCAATTAGAAAACCGTGACCTATAATATGCAATATTTCAATACTTCATACCATTTTTTTACACTTTTGCCAAGTAATGAACAAGTGGAGGACTTACATAAATATAAACTGTTTTAAAAACAATATAGAAAAATTTCACTAAAATATTACTAGATGATTCTCTTGACGAGGTAATCACTTGTCTCTAAACTATTCATATTGGTAGAAAATGGAAAGGAAAGGCATTGCTGTTGTTAAAACGGAGATGCAATTTATATATATTTTTATTTTGGTAATGTTGTTTTTGGAAAATTTAAATGAATAAAATATTAGTTTTGTTAGATTAAAAAAAGAAAAGAAGAGAAAGGTGGGTTTGTAATACGGCGGTTGGATTATATATTCAACTTTTATATTCGGTGTGGAAAAAATCTCTTACTATCAAGAGATCATTCACACACACACACATATATATAAAACTTTCAACACTTACATAAACTGTGGTAGCACATCCAGAGTTGGCAAGGCTTTCACATTTAGGGATTTGGTTCTTATTAAAAAATTCATATTTTGACTTCTTTTTTTATTTTTTTAGTATAAGATTATGGTGTTGGTCCAAACAATCTACATTCATAATGTAGATTGTTTGGACCAACACCATAATCTTATACTAAAAAAATAACTAAATGAGCTGAGTTTGAGCATAAATTTTAAGTCCGTTAAGCCCTTGAACAAGCTCTTTTAAATTAAATACATTATATTTAATTTATTATATCTAACAACCTAGCCAAATATAAAAGTTTAGCCCAAGTTAACATTTATATTTCATGGGCCCAATTAATATATGGCTATCTACAAGCCCATCTTATATATGAAGTCCATTTAATGGCCAAAGTCATGATTCCTCTCATTCCCAGCCATTAGATTCCTTTTATAATTTTATGGGCCAGATTAGAAAACCCTAATGTCACGGGCCTAGAGATTTGGCGCAGCGGCACGGCCCGTGCGGCGCCAAGGCGTTGCTTCAGCTCGCGCAAGCGCCCTGGTCAGCCACCACGACCTGCCCTCCCAAGGATACATGCTGACTGGTTTCGGCCTGCCATGGCCTCGTCAGGGGAACGGCTCCAGCTCCGGACCAGTTTGTGCAGGGATGGCCAACTCCCTTCTTCATAGTCAAGTCCACGACCAGCGACAAACACCTCGAACTGAACCGAGTCGACCTGCCTGAACTCTGAAGAGGTTCCATCCTGTGCTCCTGCACGCCCCTTCCCTGGAACCATTCCCAGTCAAACTCTGCTCTTTGCCAACCAGCATGCGTGTCTTCCATCCTCCAAGCGTCTTAGGAATCACTTCGTGACATTCTCCCCCACCCAAATCCTGCGACGTCCTCGTCGCAGTGCGGCGCTTCACTACTGCGTCCACTCCCTTCCAAAGTCTGCCTCCATGCGGTATGCTCGCCTTCCCACCATCGCTTCCTTGTGCAGCTCCCTGCACTGCACTCGCCCAATGATAGGCCTCGGACCAAGGGGACGTCCACTCCTCAAGGACGTGACTCTTCTCCGTCATGCCGCCTCCGCGACATCCCGAGCAAGCAATGGCCTTCTGCCGACTTGATGCTCGCCCTTCACCATGGTTTGCATCACCCAAGGACTAAGCACGAACTTTGGTGCGCGCGG